GAAGAGCTGACTCATTTGAAAAGACCCTGATGCTGGGAAAGATTGAAGGCAGGAGGAGAAGGGGATGACAGAGGATGAGATGTTTGGATGGTATCACCGACTCAATGGACATGAGTTTGAGCAAGCTCCAGGAGTTGGTGATGGACAGGGAGGCCTGGCGTGCTACAGTCCGTGGGATCGCAAAGAGTCGGACTGAGCGGCTGAACTGAACTGAACACTAGTGAGCAGGCACTCTCCATCCCCTTTCTGATGTCTGTGTCGGAAGCTTTCTCTGTCCCATTTTATACTTTAATAAAACTTCTACTACACAAAAACTCTTGAGTGATCAAGCCTGGTCCCTGGTCCCAAAGCTAAATTGTCTTCTTGGGAGGTCAAGAATCCGACACCATTCACCGTAAAGCTATCATCATGATGCGTTGAAAGGGATGCTGATTTATGTGGTCGTCTCTCGGAATCCTCCGGGGATTGGTTCCAAGACCTGCCGTGGGTACCAAAATCCACGGGCTGCTCAGGTCCCACAGTCAGCCCTTCTGGATCTGCGGATTCCGCCCGCCACGGAGGGCAAACACAGTGGTAAACATGCTGAAACACATCCGCGTGTGGTGAACCCTGGGAAGTCAGACCCGCCTCGTTCAGGGCTCAGCCGTGCCTCACGACGGGCGTGGACCTGCCACGGGCACAGAAATCACCTTTCCTCCTGGATGTCTCTCAGCAGTTCGGTCGAAGAGGGATCCTGTGAGTCATTTCGCCTAGAGTCTTGTGTTTTGCGTGAACTTGACCGAGGGCACTCCCAGAAGATCGAAGCAGACAGATGAGCACTGTTGAGTTTTCAACAGGGTTATTTCAAGCGATGGCTGTGTTAGAGCGCTCACTGAACAGCTGCCTCCGGGAGGTTGGGACCAGACATGTACATTTGAGTCACTCCTGATTTGCTTAAATACCCTTCCTCTTTATAAATCAGGGCACGTGAGTATCGGGTCCAATTTTACACCAGTTTTTAAATGGGTTATTGTAACCTTTTTTAAAACTCAACATTCCGAAAACTAAGGTCATGGCATCTGGTCCCATCACTTCATGGCAAATACATGGGGAAACAATGGAAACAGTGACAGAGTTTATTTTGGGGGGCTCCAAAATCACTGCAGATGGTGACTGCAGCCATGAAATTAAAAGACGCTTGCTCCTTGGAAGNGTCAAAACAACGATTTCCACTAGACAGCACCCCCCAAACATTGAGACTTGCAGAATTTGGTTTACTCTCATAGCAAGACTGTGAAGGTGGCAACTGATTGTTGGCCTCTTTGGCAGACAGACCCTACAGTGCTCCTGCTATTTCTCACACGGCCACCAGAGGGCAGTGTGTACCTGCTTATGGGAAACACTGCAAGGAGATCCAACTAGTCAATCCTAAAGGAAATCAATCCTGAATATTCATTGGAAGGACTGATGCTGAAATGGAAACTCCAATACGTTGGCCACCTGATGCAAAGAACCAACTTATTGGAAAAGACCCTGATGCTAGGGAAGATTCAGGGCGGGAGGAGAAGGGAACGAAAGAGGATGAGATGGCTGGATGGCATCCCCGATTCAATGGACATGAGTTTGCATGGCATCCGGGAGTTGGTGATGGACAGGGAAGCCTGCTGTGCTGCAGTCCATGGGGTTGCAAAGAGTCAGGCATGACTGAGCGACTGAACTGAACCTTTTTAAAGATAAAGGGTGAGGCATTGAGACAGCTCCCCTTCCCACCTGCTTTGCTTCTGTCTGGGGACTGTCCTGTGATGTCCGGGTCTTCCCAGAGTCTCGATCTGACTCCCTCTGATTATAACTACACTTAGCGCCCTTTCTCCTTCTTCCTACCCTCTTTATCTGTACCCCGCCTGCATCCAGCATACCGCTGTGCCCCAGGTCCCCGTTTTCTGTTCCAACACGTCCAGCACAGCTACCCCGTTCAGTGGCCACACGCCCCCTTCCCTTTACCACCAGAAGTCCACTTCCACGGTCACCCCACCCTCGAGCCCGTCTCCCTGAACCCTTCCACGCTTTCCTCCGCCTGCTCTTCCCCTTTCTCATCCTGGCAAGCCAGTCTTTTCTTCGTAGCGTTTGCCTCCCCTTTCCCTTAGGCTTTTACGATCACTGAAGTAGCGTATCTCACCTTCTCTCATGTGTGTTCCTCTGCCGTTTTCCAAATTCCCGCATCTCGGAGAACCCGCGGCTGTCTGCCGACACTGTCGACAGGAGGCAATCTCCTCTTTCATTTTCTTATATTGGGTGCTCGGGATCTTCCTCTGGCAACGTGACCTCATCTAAGTCTCTTTTATTTTTTTCCACAAAACAAATGTGAGGATAGGAATACAGGACCCCAGATCTCAGATTGTGTGAGGCTGTGATTGGATTTCCCTACACACACACACACACACACACACACACACACACACATAACATACATATATGCACGCACATACCCACAGGCACAGATATACACACATACCCACAGACATACACACATGGGCATACACAGACATACACACACACATACAGGCTTCCCTTGTAAAGGCAAAGAATCTTCAGCTGGTAAAGAATCCGCCTGCAATGAAGGAGACCCAGGTTTGATTCCTGGGTCAGGAAGACCCCCTGGAGAAGGGAACAGCTCCCCACTCCAGGATTCTGGCCTGGAGAAGGGGTAACAAATGTCAGACACGACTGAGTGACTTTCACTTTCACACACACATACAGACACACACACACATGTGCACATACACACCCAGGGTCCATGCCTTTCACCTCCATACCTTCTGTCCCTTGGCAATTCAGAAATCCAGCATTGCCTAGATGAGACTGAAAGGTCATCTCATTTGTCACTTAGCTTTCCGGTTGTTACAAGTGAGACAGTGTGCGTTTAGAGTTTAAGCAAGGAAGTGCTTTATTTCTCTGCGCAGTTACCCTGGGGCATGAATGTACAAAGAAGAAGGTAACGTAGAAGCCAGCTGGCCAGCCGGTCAACACTGGCCACTCCATTGGCAGAATCAGGGGATGGGGGCGGCTTCTTTTTTCCGTGTTCTACATTGTTTTCTGTCGTCTCATAATTTTCAAATATCGTGTAGTATCTGGTCGTCAGCTGGGGTGCTGTTTCATTTGGGTACTGTGTAGTTGATACGTATATCCTTCAGTTCTTCCTGATTTATGAGGGAAAAATGGTCTAAAACCTGTCTGCAAATCTAGCAGACACAGCGAGAGGCCCTGAGTTTCGTGTGACTCGAATAATCAGAGCACCTTCTGAGGAAAGGACTGTCTTACTCTCTCCTGTGTTTTCTGAGTGGGTAGGGAGTTTTTTTCTTTTCGTCCTCGATGGAAACTAGGAGACTCAGGGGAAGCTGAGGAAATAGGCATGGTAAGTCAGCGGTGCCGTCCTTAGCAATATCATGGCTGTGTCTGTCTGCACCGAGTCCCCGAAAGTCACTTCACGTGGCAGTACATGCGTTTGATGATCTCAGATGGACAGAAGCGCTCGCCGTCAGAGTTGAGGGGGCAGGACTGTCCAGCTTGAGCCCGAGACTTGTCAGAGCATCGGGCAAGGGTGGGGTCTCTTACCCTCTGCACTCTCCACTCTTGAGGATGACACCGTTCCTCTCTGGGGGTGGGGCGGGGGGCATCCTATGCACTGCAGGACATTGGGCGGCATCTCTGGTCCCTCCCCGCTACTTGCCAGCTGCACCCCCCGCAGTTGTGACCAGCAGACACACCTCCAGGTTTTCCCAGATGCCCCCCGCCCCCTGAGGGGCAGGATCGCCCCCTTCCATTGAGACAACTGCGTCAGTGGGGCAGCCCTCGGGTCGTGACAGGAAATAGGAGGCTCGGGGTGGCCCCCTGACGTCTGGGTTCATGTTGCTATCGACCGAGTACTGGGTGTGTACTGGCCGCCCCTTCCCAGTCCAAGTCCCAGCCTCCCCGGGGCCCCAGGCAGCTGCGTTTCCGACCCAGGAGACGCCCAGTTGGAGCTGACCCCCACCCCCCGACCGGGGACTCTGTCCGCAGGACGGCACGGTGTTCGACGGCCGCCCCATAGAGTCCCTGTCCCTGATCGACGCGGTGATGCCGGACGTGGTGCAGACGCGGCAGCAGGCCTTCCGGGAGAAGCTGGCCCAGCAGCAGGCGGCCGCGGCGGCTGCAGCCGCCGCTGCAGCAGCCGCAGCAGCAGCGGCCACGACGGCGGCCCCCGCGGCCGTTTCCCAGCAGAACCCACCAAAGAACGGCGAAGCCACGGTCAACGGAGAGGAGAACGGCGCGCACGCCATCAGTGAGTCCGCCTCTTTCGTGACCCCCGTGGACACTCGCCCGCCAGCCTCCTCCGTCCATGGGATGCTCCAGGCCAGAATACTGGGGTGTGTGTAGCCATTCCCTTCTTCAAGGGATCTTCCCGACTCAGGGATCAGACCTGCATCTCCTGCATTATTAGTAGGCAGGTTCTTTACCATCTCAGCCACCAGAGAAGCCCAGAGAACCTCCTGCCTACAAATTCAGAGACAGCTTCAGGGAAGTTCTGCGTTGAGAGTGTGTGTGTGTGCGTGCCTGTGAGTCTCTGCCAGTGAGTGTTCTTCCCTGTTTTGAACGCCCCTTCCCTCCAAGCAGCTGTGCTTCCCTGAGGAAGCAGCTTGTCATCTCTGGGGCGAGCCTCTCCCCACTGGAGACATGGAGTCGGGACATGGCTCCACCCCTGGGCAGAGAGAAGGGCCAGGCTGCCATGCAGGACGGCTTCAAGAACTGACCGTGTGCAGTATCAAATCAAATTACCTTCCAATAATCAGTGTTCACAAGATTCGCAAGGATGGGGGGCCAGGAAAGGAGAAGAAAAGATAACGTGGCTTGTGCCCACACGTCATTTGTGGGCTGGCCCACCCCGCTGGGGTCTCTCTGTCTAGGTGCTCAAAGTAAAACAGGAAAAAGGTGGACATCCTTGCTTGCTTCAGCCACCAGCCCAGAAGGTGAACGTCCCTGTTTTCTTCATCTTTCACCCCAGAAAGGAAGCATAATTGGTGAGCTTAGAGAAATCTACTTACCTACTACTCTGACAGAAATCTTGCCAACTTTTAAACTGAACCGTGTCTTTCGGTCTAAAACCCCAAGGGAGCGTAGCCTCATGGAGACAGGCACACAGCTTAAGGCGCGCTGGAAGCTCCTGGCTCCTCCTTCGTTTGAAGGGGCCTTTGCAGTGGGGTTCCTTCCCACCTGAGGGCTGGCTGCCTCCCCCCCAGACACATACACACACATGCAACATCTACTGGTTTCCGACTTCCATTCTGTCCCACCTGCTCTTGTTAAAAGGCAGCTGCAGCCAGACTTAGAGAGTCTGAAGTTAGACTTCATCCTGACTTTCAAGAACCTTATTTCATGCGCCACATAGAAGGGAAAAAACTGGGTCCACTTTTGAGGACTTTGCTGGGGGGCTCCCATGGGAAAGAATCTGCCAGTGGTGCAGGAGACTCAGGTTCAATCCCTGGGTGGGGAAGATCCCCTGGAGGAGGATATGGCAACCCACCCCAATATTCTGGCCTGGGGAAATTCCATGGACGAGAGGAGCCTGGCAGACTACAGTCCATGGGGTCACAAAGAGTCCGGCATGACTGAGCGACTTAACACTACAGCATGATCCAGGATGAGTCTCTTCTGGGTGGCGTCTACCATGACTGGTCGCCACCACCCTTTCACAACCTGGAGTCCCTGTTGGGTCATCTGGGGTGTGGCTGCATGGCTTCAAGAGCCTGGAACACACTTGGCTCCAGTAGGAAAATAGCATTTGAGTCCCAAGACCATGAGGGTGTTTGCAGGCCAAGGGGTTGTGGGTGGTGAGCCTTCTGGAAGAAGGATGGTGTGTCCACGTGGGAGCTCCGTAGGTAAGCAGGTGACACCTCAGGAAGGTGTGAGTGTCTTATAAAATCACTTGTCCCGTCAACAGGAAGGAACTTCTGCTGAAAATACTTTTATGTGTATCCTAATTATTCCCAGCGTCACTTGAATTGTAACTTGCATTCTAGCAGCAGTGTTTGCAAGTGACTTGTTCTTCAGTTGCTAAGTTGTTCACCAGTAAAGATCTCGTCTGCCGATGCAGGAGACGTTTAAGAGATGCGGGTTCGATCCCTGGGCTGGGAAGATCCCCTGGAGGAGGTGACGGCAACCCACTCCAGTATTTTTGCCTGGAGAATCCCCATGGACAGAGAAAGCGGGTCACAAAGAGTCCGACACGACTTAGGGACTTAACAGCACTAACACAGCTTACGTTCTAGGCGTATACCAAAGAGTGAGATAGCCTTTGGCATTTAGAAACCCCTAATTTCACTTGCGTTGCTATTCATTCATTGGTGCCTGACTCTTTGAGACCCCATGGGCTGTAGCACGCTCATGTTCCCTGTCTATCACCATCTCTCGGAGTTTGCTCAAACTCACGTCCATTGTGTCGTCCCCTTCTCCTCATAGACTTCTTAAGAAAATATAACAGAATATGCTTCTTTTTACTGTAGAAATAAAAGAGAGAGAGAAGGAACCTTCAAAGTCTGCTCAAGAGACAGCTGTGTCCAGTCTTATTCCCGTTGTTATTACCTATGAGCCTGGCCCTAGTTAGAAAGAATAAACGCTGGCCGTTACTCCCCTATCAGATTGGGGGGCTGTGAGGAAGTGTGGCTTCACAGAAGGTTATATAGAAGCCATCACCTGGTTATAATCGTCACAAGTGAGCTGACATCACAGCGGAGGAAGTTGTCCATAAAGCTTACGTGCCCTGAGGAGGGATGGGTTTCTTTGGTGTCAGCCACACACGTGTCCTGTCCTGTTCCCCTCGGCAGATAATCATTCGAAACCAATGGAAATCGACGGAGACGTGGAGATCCCACCCAGCAAGGCCACCGTCCTTCGGGGCCACGAGTCAGAGGTGTTCATTTGTGCCTGGAACCCTGTCAGTGACCTCTTGGCTTCAGGGTAAGGGGTCAGGCCGGGGGTGCCTGGGGTCTGGGTGTCCGAGTCCTCCATGGTCAGCTAAGGGGTGCTTGGGGTCCGGGTGTCCAAGTCTTCCAGGGTCAGCTAACGGGTGCTTGGGGTCCGGGTGTCCAAGTCTTCCAGGGTCAGTTAAGGGATACTCTGGGTCCGGGTGTCCGAGTCCTTCCTCCTGGGACAGACACTCCCTTCCTACGTCGTGTGCAGCATCTTTCTAGAATGTACGGACCAGGGCTTTGCGTGGGGGGACCTCTTGGGGTGTCTAAGACTGTGCAAAAGTACTTATTCAGCTGTTTTCCCAGCCATGTGGAAAGCTATGCACTGACATTTAAAATGATTAAGGGCACCTACGGCTGGAAAGAGAAAACCACTGTGATTTTTTGTTTTTGAGCAACGTTATAGAGGCGGGGAGACCCAGCCGTGCGACAAGCGGCGGTGGGCGGTGCTTGCTCTGGGACCGGGCACACTGAGTGCCGGGTGTGTTCCTTGCGCAGGTCCGGAGACTCAACTGCCAGGATATGGAACCTGAACGAGAACAGCAACGGCGGCTCCACGCAGCTGGTGCTGCGGCACTGTATCCGGGAGGGGGGCCACGACGTCCCCAGTAACAAAGACGTCACCTCGCTGGACTGGAACGTAAGCCGCCTCCCTCCCGGACGCCGTCAGGGACACCTGTGTGGCCCCTGTGGCCTCAGCAAGGGCTGTGCGTCGGATGGAGCTGGGGCGGACCCCAGGAAGGGGACGGGATTGTGGGTCAGCCCACCCGGGGATCTGGGTGGGCCCCCCACCCACCCCACCCCCCGCTTTCTGAGCGCTGCTCCTGAGGCTGTCCGCATCAGCAGACCGCCAGCCGGGTGGTGTTCAGTAAGCTACGTGTCGGCAGGAGCAGTCTGGCGGCTTTATCCGGGAGCCTGTTATGTGGGGCTACCCTGTGAGGTGTGCCCAGGGAAAAGCTGACTTCCCACCCAAGCCTCAGCGTCTGTGCCCGGACATACAAACAGCTCTCTGGCGTCTTTTCACTTTGTCTTTATCATGTTCTTTTTTTGGTTTTGGACTATACAGTTTACTTATTTATTTTTTCTGTTTTCCATTTTATTTTTTTTAATTCATTTATTTTAATTGGAGCCTAATTACTTTACATATGAACATTGGGGTGCACGTGTCTCTTTCAGATCTGGTTTCCTCGGTGTGTATGCCCAGCAGGGGAATTGCAGGGTCATATGGCAGTTCTATTTCCAGTTTTTTAAGGAACCTCCACACTGTTCTCCATAGTGGCTGTACTAGTTTGCATTCCCACCGACAGCTTATCACGTTCCTGTCTGTCCTGTCATTTCATCACAGACTCTTCTCTCGTCAAAGTGTCTGCAGCTCTTTTTCAAAGCTCGCCTGGGTCTCCCAGAGTCACACAGTAACTTTCGAATGGTGTCTTGTTGGTGTCGTCAATGGTGATGGGGTGCGCTGTGTTTTGCTTGCCCCCTGGCCTTGTGCTGATTTGGGATGTGGGAAGTCCGGGACCTTCCTGGTGATCCAGGGGTCAGGAGTCGTCACCTCTATTGCAGGGGCAGTGAGTTCGATCCCTGCTCCGGGAATGCAGGTCCCGTGTGCAGCCTCTAATAAATAGTTTGTGTTGGTATGTGTTTCTGGCCCGCAGAGCGACGGGACACTGTTGGCTACGGGTTCCTATGATGGTTTTGCAAGAATATGGACAGAGGATGGTAAGTCCTCCTGGCCCCGCCTCCCTCGCGTTAGGGTTGGAGGAGGGGATGCTTTGAATTGTCATCCTCCGGGGTTACAGACCTGGCGGGTCTCAGAAGTCACTCTGCTTTCTCTCTCTTTTTAACATCCTAGGTAACCTGGCCAGCACCTTAGGCCAACATAAAGGCCCCATCTTCGCCTTGAAGTGGAACAAGAAGGGGAATTACATTTTGAGTGCTGGAGTAGACAAAGTGAGTGTTTGCGTAAGATACACTGCTTTTTCATCTGTGGTTAGTCTCTCGGGAAACATCACGGTTTCTTGGAATTCTGAAAATTCTGCCTCCCCTTAAGAAATCAAAGGGGCCTTGTTTAGGTTTTGTGAGCTTCTGTGGTTTTGATCTTCTGGTATTCTAGAGCCTCTGAGTGAGAGACTGTCTACCGTGATGAATCAACTATGGCAGGAATGATATCAATGTTCTTGAAACTGATATATTCTCAGGGAGGAAATTTAAGTTAGGGACACTGGCTTTGACCCTCAGTGAACTAAAAATCCTATAAACCACACAGTGGAGTGAGGGATAAAACTGTGAATTGGTCTAGAGCTTCCCAGGTGGCACTAGCGGTAAAGAACCCGCCTGCCAGTGCAGGAGACTTAAGCGACGTGAGTTCGATCCCTGGGTCGGGAAGATCCCCTGGAGGAAGGCATGGCAACCCATTCCAGAGTTCTTACCTGGAGAATCCCGTGGACAGAGAAGCCTGGTGGACTTATAGTCCCTGGGGTCTCAGAGAGTCAGACACAACTGAATTGACTTAGTGTTAGAGCTGGCCTGAAGTTTTTCAGACACATTCAATGCTGTCAGTATTTCTCCAGGAACATTAACGCAGTTGATACAAAAAGAGAACCAGTCCTTCGTAAAGGAAGATCTTTGTTAAAATGTCATTGACAGGGAGGCGTCAAGTTTCCAATTTGGCTGAAAATTCAAGTTGAGAATTAATTCCAGATGTTTTGCATCGAGCTGTCTCCAGCTTCTTCCACAAGTGTGTCCCCAACACTATAATGTGTTCATAAGCATTTGTGACTTCCTTTGTCTTCTGGGGTTGGAGATCCTTTTTTTTTTTTTCTCCTTAATATGGGGGCGGGGGGGAAATGCGTATCTAATACCACCTTTTGAGGCAATGTTCCAATTGTAAACCTGCAGAATAATACCCCCAAAGGCGGTATTAGATATGCATTTCCCCGCCCCCAATAGTTTTTCATGTTTGGGAATTCCCTGGTGGGTCAGGTGGTTAAGACTCTGCTTTCTGGTACAGAGGGCCACACCTTTGATCCATGGCTGGGGAAGCTTAAAGATCTCACGTCCTGTGGAACCAAAAATCTTTTCATTTAAAAAGGAAAAGTCTTTTTTTTTTTTTTTAATGATAGGTTTTCAAGTTTGAGGATATAGATGGGATTCCCACCAAAATTGGTAGTTTCCTGTATTTCAGTTACGGCTGCCGTTGTCCAGAGGCGTATAATGAGCAGACGCGTGTGACTGAGTTCATAAGTGTGACGTCTGGGTGATTTAAGTCTGTAAGACACACACATCCAAAGAGCGGACGAAAAAGACGCAGGCCATGTGATACGAACATATTGATTCACGTTGAAGTGACAACATTTTCACTGTACTGGAGTGAAATAAACTATATATTGTGAAAATCAGTTTTACTGGTTTCTTTTTTTTTTTAATTTTTTACCGTGCCTGCTAGAAATTTTTAAGTTGAGCAGTGCTGGTTTAGAAAAAAAGGAGCTCCCTGTGTTCTCATGTATGACAAATTTTTCAGGAGAAAACGTTGCGGGGGGAACCAGTATTTAAGTTTTTTGTTTCTTTATTTTTTTGCGGAGCACAGACAACAATAATCTGGGACGCTCACACGGGAGAAGCCAAACAACAGTTTCCGTTTCATTCCGGTGAGTATTTTCGTATTTTTCCCTTTTTTTTTTTCTATTTTACTTTTCTTGTTTTTAATTCAAAAATAAGAATTCGGAGTCCTGAGACGGGTCTCTTAAAGTAAGGGTGAATGCTCGGAAGAAGGCATGCCTCAAGAGCAGTGCTGAGCGTGCGGGGTGGACGTTTGCTGATACATCGGGCGGCCCCGAGGTGATGTGTTGGCAGATATCCGAGGGTCTCTCCTGCTGGGCAAATCTGGGTTCCTGGTGATGCTCAGTCCCACAGGGCTGGCCCCCAGGACTCCCCAAGCCAGCGCGATCCACCTCCGTACCTGGGAGGGGTCCAAGCAGGTGGGGAGGGGTGTGGTTCTGCAGGAGCAGGCTGAGAGGAGAGGTTCCCCGCAGGGCCCTCGACATGACTGTGGCAAAGGCGCGCGGTCGTTCGTTCCCTCCTGGCTCAGCTGGCAGAGCCCCGGAGGGTCCCGTGCACACCTGGCCCCCCGGAGAGGCAGTCAGCCCGTGTCTTCTGTGTATGTCTTGTGACGGGGTTCTGATTCCTGGTGCGTGGCACCAGTGTGCTCCCGTGATGGGGGCGGATGTCTGTAACACACACAGCTCTCACTTCTGATTTTCTCAGAGAGTCATGTGCCCAAGATAAACTCGAAAGAGTTTTCATCTTGAGGACTCATGTATTGAGTCTTTCAGCAGGATGTAAATTTTCCCCAGAGCATTCCCAAGGTCCCAGGCTTTCTATCCCGTGGGCTGTGTGTCTCTTCTGTCCTCAGGGAGCTTCTGACCTGGGGTGTTGCTGCCCACGAAATCGACCCGTATCCCGTCGCTGGGTTGGCTCTGGGTGTCATTTCCTCTTGCTTTTTGAGCGTGAAGCGGTGTGGTGGACGCTGTCCAAGATGGAAGAGAAGGGAGCGTGCTTTTGTTAAAGCTGGAGGGACAGCCATCCTCAGCATGTGATGCGTTGATCTCAGCAGCTGCCTTGCCTCTCCAGAGGTGTTCCCCGTGAAGGCCTGGTCGGGCTGTCCTCGGTCAGCAGGAAGCGTTAGGCCTCAGAGCCTAGCAGTGTCCTACTGCTCAGCAACGAGAAAGAACAGGTTTAAAACAAGTGCAGGGGCTTCCCTAGCGGCTCAGTGGTAAAGAATCTGCGTGCAATGCAGGAGACCCAGGTTCAATCCCTGGGTCGGGAAGGTCCCATNAGCACACCAGGCTTCCCTGTCATTCACCATCTCCCAGAGCTTGCTCAAACTCATGTCCATCGAGTCAGTGATGCCGTCCAACCATCTCGTCCTCTGTCGTCCCCTTCTCCTCCTGCCTTCAGTCTCTCCCAGCATCAGGGTCTTTTCCAATGACTCAGTCCTTCCCATCAGGCAACCAAAAGTATTACAGCTTCTGCATCAGTCCTTCCAGTGAAGATTCAGGGTTGATTTCCCTTCGGATTGACTGGTTTGATCTCCTGGCTGTCCAGAGGACTCTCAAGAGTCTTCTCCAGCACCACAGTTCCAAAGCATCAATTCTATAACCTGTTCTCAATGAAAAATTAAAAGGAAGAGGCAACGTGAAGCTTGCCTGTACCTGGAGCAAAGTGCTGATGGTCAAACGTCATTGGCCAAGTGTGAGCAGGAAGGTCACCCAGACCCGCTGGAACAGCTGAGCCCTGGGTCATGACTAATTGGGGGGAGGGCAGGGTCCCAGCAGCAGCATGGACGCATACCGACGGCCCCAGTCAGCTGAGTACACAGCGTCCTCCGTTCAGGTGGCCGGGGCTCAGCACACATTAGTTTTTATGGCCAGGTGCCGCTTACCATCCCCGGAACCGCGTGCCAGATTGTCACCCTTCCAGGCGTATTAACTGCACGCCCGAAGGCACAGACCGGCCTGGGAAATCTGTGACTTGGCTCATGTGTGCGGTGTTAAAAACAAGGGCAGCTGCGGGCTTTGCTTCCTCGCTCCCTGGATCATCCTGCTGAGTGAATCCAGCTCCTTCATTCTGTCGGGCGCGTGTGGCACATTGAGCAAGAGCCGTGGATCTGTGCTGAACCCCGCCTTCGTGGGTTGTTGAGAAAAAGCCAGCGTTGCCTCTCTGCGAAACCCTCCCACCTCAGGCTCTGTGAGGGGATGGGGCTAGACGTGGAAGCTGATGGGGTCCATCCTGCAGTTCTGGAAGGCAGGAGGGTGGACAGGGTGCTCCTCTGGTTTGAAGGTTAAGAACGGGGCCTTCCCTGGTGGTCCGGTGGTTAAGAGTCTGCCTTTGCAAGGCAGGAGACTCGAGTTCGATCCCTGACCGGGGAAGATACCGTGTGCCACGGAGCAAGTAAATGCGTGCCTTTCAACTCCTGAGTCTGTGCTACCCGACAAGAGAAGCTGCCTCAATGAGAAGCCCCGCACACCTCAGCTAGAGAGTCACCCACACAGCAACCAAAACCCAACACAGCCAGAAATTGTTGTTCAGTCACTCGGACGCATCCGACTCTTTGTGACCCCATGGACCGCAGCACACCAGGCCTCCCTGTCCATCACCAGCTCCCAGAGTTTGCTCAGACTCTTGTCCATCGAGTCGGTGATGCCATCCAACCATCATCCTCTGTCGTCCCCTTCCCCTCCCGCCTTCGATCTTTCCAGCATCAGGGTCTTTTCCAATGAGTCAGCTCTTTGCATCAGGTGGCCAAAGTATATTTTAAAAATTAATAAGTATATGTTGAAGGCTAAGGATGGGAGGGGGTCGTCCAATTTATCATGTCCTGGGTGAGCTGAATTCTTGTCCCACGTCAGTGCTGACTTACATGTAAGGAACACACATGAGACAAGGTTGGGTATTTATCAGTTGATGAAGATCTGAGCAGAGGCTTGCAGGACTGAACCCTCCTTTTCCGTAGAGGCAGGGATGCGTCCGGAGAGAACGAGGGGTGCTGAGTCATCTCCTGGGGAGGATGGCATAAGGGAAGAGGGCCGTCACATCCCCCAAACCTTCTCAGAGGTCTTAAAGCCAGCGGCCTGAGAAAGGCCCAAGACCTAGAGACGGTGTCCATCCTGAGGCCACCTGTCTCCCCTCAGATGTTCTCGTCAACTCAGCATCTCCAAGCTGTAGAACGCAGTCACGGGTTGTGGGGCATTTCTTTTCAGCACTGATACCTTGAACATGGGGCTTCCCTGGTGGTTCAGATGGTGAAGAATCTGCCTGCTGTGCAGAAGATCTGGCTTCCATCCCTGGATCAGGGAAGATTCCCTGGAGAAGGGAATAGCAATCCACTCCAGCATTCGTGCCTGGAGAATCCCATGGATGGAGGAGCCTGGTGGGCTACAGTCCACGGGGTCACAGAGTCGGATATAACTCAGAGAGAGGCACACACTCGTTGAACTTAGGCTGTGAAGTCTTTTTCAGATCCATCACCCAGCCCGGTGGTGTTCCTGGGAGCAGCAAGGTGCTTCTCCCCTCCCATCCCATCTGCACCAGGGGAGCGAGACGCTGTGTGCTCAGGGCACCCGAAGCGTCACTTTGGGTGGTGCTTTCAGGGTAGGGGGTCTCTCTCTGGAGCCGTCTGGTCATCCGTGCAAACATCAACGACAGACCTCGGGGTCTGTGACGGACCGAGGCCGTGTTGGCACGGCGCGTGTTGCTTCGTCACCTCGTCAGATTTCTCAGCTCTGCTGCTGCGCCTTCTGAGTCAGCTGAGGTCTGCGTACCTGCTGAATGCCCGTGTCATCCCCTCTCCCCACCCCTGCCCCCTTGGCCTCTCCGCAGCCCCTGCTCTCGACGTGGACTGGCAGAACAACACTACCTTTGCGTCCTGCAGCACGGACATGTGTATTCACGTCTGCAGACTCGGCTGCGACCGCCCCGTCAAAACGTTCCAGGGACACACGGTGAGTGTGGGTCCTCACTGTGGGTCCTCGGGTTCACGGGAGGTGTGTGGGCAGCTGGGAAACCGGCTAGTCTCTGCCTGGGATTCAAAGCCCACTTACTGTGACTGCTGACTCATCCTCCTACAGCCTCCTCGGGGCTATTGTAGCCACCTCTGATGGTCAGCTATCCACTGGGTTGGCAGTGTTTTAATTCTCTGGTATAAGCCAGGTGTTGGATTTTGCAGGAAAGACTTTAAAGTAGCTATTATAAAAATGTCTGAGGACATAAAGGGGGGGGAGTGAGTAGGAATATGACTCTTAAAGTCAGCTTTGAAATAACTTACTGGTTTTATACTGGTTTCTAGGTAAATTCATTTGGCTTCCTTCTTATATGTGATTTTTTCCCCCCTTGGAGAAATATGGCTCAGGGTAGCTGGCGTATCGGGCGTATGACTGTGCACTTTCTATCAAGGAGGAAGGAGAAAAGGAAATATGCCTGAAACCTGGGGTGATGCTTGCTTATCCAGGGTGAATGCAAGCAGGCTTCTTGCAGAGATGACAGAGCGCTCCTGCCCCCTGCTGGAAAGTTGTGTTAGTTCAGTTCCGTCGCTCAGTCTTGTCCCACTCTTTGCGGCCCCCTGGACCACAGCANCTGCCCCCTGCTGGACGCTTGTGCTTTCTACTCCCGGGCTTTTTGCATAGAAGACAGAGCGCTCCTGCCCTCTGCTGGACACTTGTGTTTACTACATCCAGGCCGTTTTTTTTTCCCCCCATTGATTTTTAGTATACTCCCGGGCTTTTTGCATAGAAGACAGAGCGCTCCTGCCCCCTGCTGGACGCTTGTGCTTTCTACTCCCGGGCTTTTTGCATAGAAGACAGAGCGCTCCTGCCCTCTGCTGGACACTTGTGTTTACTACATCCAGGCCGTTTTTTTTTCCCCCCATTGATTTTTAGTATACTCCCGGGCTTTTTGCATAGAAGACAGAGCGCTCCTGCCCCCTGCTGGACGCTTGTGCTTTCTACTCCCGGGCTTTTTGCATAGAAGACAGAGCGCTCCTGCCCTCTGCTGGACACTTGTGTTTACTACATCCAGGCCGTTTTTTTTTCCCCCCATTGATTTTTAGTATACTCCCGGGCTTTTTGCATAGAAGACAGAGCGCTCCTGCCCCCTGCTGGACGCTTGTGCTTTCTACTCCCGGGCTTTTTGCATAGAAGACAGAGCGCTCCTGCCCTCTGCTGGACACTTGTGTTTACTACATCCAGGCCGTTTTTTTTTCCCCCCATTGATTTTTAGTATACTCCCGGGCTTTTTGCATAGAAGACAGAGCGCTCCTGCCCCCTGCTGGACGCTTGTGCTTTCTACTCCCGGGCTTTTTGCATAGAAGACAGAGCGCTCCTGCCCTCTGCTGGACACTTGTGTTTACTACATCCAGGCCGTTTTTTTTTCCCCCCATTGATTTTTAGTATACTCCCGGGCTTTTTGCATAGAAGACAGAGCGCTCCTGCCCCCTGCTGGACGCTTGTGCTTTCTACTCCCGGGCTTTTTGCATAGAAGACAGAGCGCTCCTGCCCTCTGCTGGACACTTGTGTTTACTACATCCAGGCCGTTTTTTTTTCCCCCCATTGATTTTTAGTATACTCCCGGGCTTTTTGCATAGAAGACAGAGCGCTCCTGCCCCCTGCTGGACGCTTGTGCTTTCTACTCCCGGGCTTTTTGCATAGAAGACAGAGCGCTCCTGCCCTCTGCTGGACACTTGTGTTTACTACATCCAGGCCGTTTTTTTTTCCCCCCATTGATTTTTAGTATACTCCCGGGCTTTTTGCATAGAAGACAGAGCGCTCCTGCCCCCTGCTGGACGCTTGTGCTTTCTACTCCCGGGCTTTTTGCATAGAAGACAGAGCGCTCCTGCCCTCTGCTGGACACTTGTGTTTACTACATCCAGGCCGTTTTTTTTTCCCCCCATTGATTTTTAGTATACTCCCGGGCTTTTTGCATAGAAGACAGAGCGCTCCTGCCCCCTGCTGGACGCTTGTGCTTTCTACTCCCGGGCTTTTTGCATAGAAGACAGAGCGCTCCTGCCCTCTGCTGGACACTTGTGTTTACTACATCCAGGCCGTTTTTTTTTCCCCCCATTGATTTTTAGTATACTCCCGGGCTTTTTGCATAGAAGACAGAGCGCTCCTGCCCCCTGCTGGACGCTTGTGCTTACTACTCCCGGGCTTTTTGCATAGAAGACAGAGCGCTCCTGCCCCCTGCTGGACGCTTGTGTTTACTACTCCCAGGCCTTCATTTCTTTCTTTTTTTTTTAAACCTCTGGCTCTCTTGCAGAATGAGGTCAACGCCATCAAATGGGATCCCTCTGGCATGTTGTTAGCCTCCTGTTCTGATGACATGACATTGAAGGTAAGGCTGGTATGACCCGAGGTGACCCCCGGAGCCCCCGCGCTGTCTTCAGTCCCAGTGCTGCTCCTGCAGCTGACCGTTGTGTCGTGAGCTCCGTTGCTGTCTCTGTCGTCCTTTTCTCTTTGCAAACGGCATGCCGCTTGCCCCGGCAGTGAAGCCCTGTTTATTGGCCACAGTCCCACGGAGCCTCCTTCCATTCCTGAGGCCTTTCTCCCATCCAAGCACTAACTAGACCAAACCGGACCCTGCCTAGCTTCTGAGGTCAGACCAGGGTCGTTTGGACCGCACCCCACCCCCAACCGGCCCCGGCCTTTCTCACAGGCGCCCCCTGATCGTCAGCAGACGCCTCTGCCCGTGAAGCACCTGCCCGTTGTCAGCCGCCCATCCTGCTGGCCATGAGCTTCCCAGAGACAAGAGAAACCTCTGTAATGCTCCAAGCAGGAACGGTGCCGAACCTCCCCCCGGGTGGGAGAATCAGCGTTTGCTCACCGCAATCCCATTGTGTCCCCTAGATCTGGAGTATGAAGCAGGACACGTGTGTCCACGACCTTCAGGCGCACAGCAAAGAGATATACACCATCAAGTGGAGTCCCACCGGTCCGGCCACCAGCAACCCCAACTCCAGCATCATGCTGGCAAGGTAATGGACAGACAGCCCGCACCCGTCTCGGTTCCCGAAAGCTCCCTCGATTGCTGAGGCTGTGCCAGCCAGGCAGCCAGTAAAAGTCACTCATGTCCCCAAGAGACCACGAGATGCTGTCAGGGTGTCTTGCAAACATGTTTATGCCCTCAGCTGCTAAAGAGTCTGCCTGTAATGCTGGAGACTTGGGTCCGATCCCTGGGTTGGGAAGATTCCCCTGGAGAAGGAAATGGCAACCCACTCCAGTATTTTTTCTGGGAGAATCCCAAGGACAGAGGAGCCTGCCAGGCTATAGTCTGTGGGGTCACAGAGAGTTGGACATGACTGAGTGACTCACACTCAAAGTTACTTAGAAACTAACTCAAACAGAGACACCGCTCAACTGTGAAAGGGCTGTGAGGTAGAGGTTATCACTCATGGCTAAGTTGAGATGAGGATGCTTTTAACCTTGAGGCTGGAGGGAGGAATCACATACCTCCAGTCTCCCGGCACTTTGCTTTGATGAAGCTTTTTACTACAACTGAAGAAAGGAAACAATTTAACTTGGACCTTGCACTTGGTTGGGCTTCCCTGATAGCTCAGTTGGTAAAGAATCCGCCTGCAATGCAGGAGACACTGGTTCGATTCCTAGGTCGGGAAGATCCGCTGGAGAAGGTATGAGGCTACCCACTCCAGTATTCTTGGGCTTCGCTTGTGGCTCAGCTGGTAAAGAATCTGCCTGCAATGCAGGAGACCTGGGTTTGGAAGATCCCCTGGAGAAGGGAAAGGCTATCAACTCTAGTATTCTGGCCTGGAGAATCCCATGGACTGTATAGTCCATGGGGTCACAAAGAGTCAGACACGACTGAGCGACTTTAACTTCGGGCTTGGTTTACTTGGCCCAACTTGGCTGCAGCTGGGAAGAATGTTGAATGGTGATAAAAGGTCCCCCAGCCGATACCAGATCCAGTCTAACTGTCCATCCTGGCTGTCCCTGGCTTTTTTGGCACCAGGGACCAGTTTTGTGGAAAATCAATTTCCCAAGGTTTTAGGATGATTCAAGCGCACTACATTTATTGTGCCATTTATTTCTGTTATGATTGCATCTGCTTCATCTTGGATCATCAGGCACTGGATCCCAGAGGATGGGGACCCCTGCTATATGCAGTAAACCCCCTTAGACGCCAGCATCGGAGGCAGAGGACTAGTCAGTCAGTGATACGCCAGAAGGGAGCAGAGTGGTTAGACATTGACAAAAGCTTATCACTGAGGCTGCCTTCTGCAGTCTTTTGTGTTCTGGTCCTGGTCTGACCTCACACAGGATACAATGTTGCACTCCCAATAGGATATTTTAGTAAGAACCTTGAGGAACACAAGTTAAAGATATTCCAAGTGAAGGAAGGATACACTGAGGCTTCTGGAAACCATGATCCCATGAAGCGTGGGTGTGTCTGGCCTGGGAAAGATAGGACTTGGGAGGAAGGTAGTGGGTTTTTTTCTGTGTACTTGCAGAGAATGGGGTGGTGGGGAGAAGTGGCCGGTGGCCCAGCCCTGCTGTAAGTGAGAGGGAGCCCCCCTCCCCTTGTCTTTGTTCCATAACAGCGGGATGAGCAGTCTGTTACTGAAAGTGCCTGACCCAAGGCCATCTCTCAGAAAACACAGAAAGGAATTCTTGCATCAGCTGAAAAGCTGATGCAGAAAAACAGGAGAGTTGTTATCCTCTTATTGCAAGTCACTGTCCTGAAATCCACTTAAAGGTCTAGGAACAAAACAGTATCTTTTTTTTGTTTTGTTTTGTTTCTGAATCACATGTTACCCATGACGGGCATAAGTGAGCCTTCTAGACAACCAAGCATAAAGGGATGGATGTAAGTCCCAGAAGAGGGAAGAAATGCTGGGTGAAACAACTTTGTGGTGGGTGGGCTTCCCAGGTGGCACTAGTGGTAAAGAAGCTGTCTGCCAGTGCTGAAGATGTAAGAGACATGGGTTCGATCCATGGGCCAGGAAGACTCCCTGGAGGAGTGCAAGGCAACCCACTGCAGTGTTCTTGCCTGGAGAATCCCGTGGACAGAGGAGCCTGGTGGGCTGCAGTCCATGGGGTCGCAAAGAGTCGGACATGAATGGGACAATTTGGCATGTATGCATGCCTGCTCTTCTTTCAGATTTAGACGTAACTCAAATTTGCAGCTCCCGGGGGTGTGATTATATATTTGGATGCGATTATATTTTAATTCCCGTGGGATTAAAATTTGTGTTTGCTCATTTAGCTATTTCCCCAAATATGGCTCTCGGCTCTATTTTTGGCATTGTTTTCGTTGGCAGCGATAACGTGTTGTCAGTGGTGGGACCGTTTTAGAAAATGTCGTGAAGATGTATCGTTCGTGTCTCATAGAAATGCAGAAATAAATGAGTGTGATTGTCAATTTGTTCCCCTGATGACGGCACCCAAAAAGAGAAAGAGATTTACTGCGTGACTTTTTTTTTTTAATTTATTTTAATTGGAAGAGAAACACTTTATGATGTTGTGATGGTTTTTGGCATACCTCAGCATGAATCGGCCACAGGCATACATGTGTCCCCTCCCTGGACCGTGGCTCTGTGTTCAGTGCATCTTGAGTCACGTTCTAGAAGAAGAAGAGGTACCCATTTACAGTCTCTGAAACGTTCAGAGTCTGGACAGGAGAGCCACTCTTTTACTGTGAGAGTCGCGTCCTCGGGAGACCGGCGGGAAACTGCTGGCAGCTGTGGTGAGCTTTTTTGAACCCACGGGTATCCGCGGTGACCTCTGTGTCTTTCCAGCGCCTCGTTCGATTCTACCGTCCGACTTTGGGACGTGGAGCGGGGCGTGTGCATCCACACGCTCACCAAGCACCAGGAACCCGTGTACAGTGTGGCCTTCAGCCCCGACGGGAAGTACTTGGCCAGCGGCTCCTTCGACAAGTGTGTGCACATCTGGAACACTCAGGTGAGCCCCCTGCATTCCCACCGCCCGGGTCTCCCCCCTCCGCAACCCCACACCCAATACAGTCAAGTTCTCACTGACCCATGGGCTTCCCTGGTGGCGCAGGTGGTAAAGAATCTGCCTGCAATGCGAGAGACCCGGGTTCGATCCCTGGGTCAGGAAGATTCTCCCGGAGAAGGGAACGGCATCCCACTCCAATGTTCTCGCCTGGAGAATCCCATGGACAAAGGAGCCTGGTGGGCTAAAAGTCCGTGGGGTCGCCAAGAGTTGGACACGACTGAGCGACTTGACACTTTGATTTCACTTTCTTGGTGACCCCAGAACCTGAGTTTGCACTCAGGAGTGCCTCGCCTCGGACACATATCTAGACACATCCTCGGTTCCCTGGAGGGGAGCATAAGCCCACCCAGCGCCACCCCGGGCTGTCTGTGGGAGCTGGGTCGCCCCTGCCAGGGACTCGGGTTATTTTTTTTCTGAGTCCTTGGCAGGAAACGTTGCACCCGCCACTGCCCTCCATTGGCAGGAGCAGACATTGCGTGTGGTCCCAGGACGGATGAAGCGGCCTCTTTACAATCTGCCACCCCCTTGGTGTGCCCCGAGGCCCGGCTGACACTCTGATGAACGTGCTGTCTCAAGGGAGGTGGTGACGGGTGCCACATTAGCCAGCCTGGGGCCGAGGGTGGTCCGCTGAGACCTCGGGCTCCTCCTCACGCGACCGTGCCTTCTGGGCAAACGAGACGCAACAATGGCCCTAAGGTGGAACCAGGCTGCTGGCCGCCCGTGTGTGTGCTTGTTCGCTCAGTCCTGTCTGTCTCTTGCAACCTCAGAGACTTATATTACGTAGCCCGCTGGGCTCCTCTGTCCACGGGATTCTCCAGGCAAGAATGGTGGAGTTAGGGTGGCCATTCCCTTCTCCAGGGGCATCTTCCTGACCCAGGGATCAAACTCGCATTGCAGGAGGATTCTTGACTTCAAATAAATTGCCATCATCAGCCAGGTTTTGCCTGCCGTCAGCAGTTTTCATCAAATAATTTTACCCACCATTTTTTGTTTGTTTTTAAATCGGAGGATAATTGCTTTTTTTTTTTTTTAAACAGCTGATTTATGCCATGCGGCAAGGGAATCAGCCATATGTATACATATGTCTCCTCTCTCTTGAACCTCCCTCTCCCCACCCATCTCAAGACTCCAGGTCATCACAGAGTACCGAGCTAAGGTCTCCGTGCTATATACAGCAGCTTCCCGTATTTTGCATTCCCCCCGGCTAAATCATTAAACTCTCTTGAGTCATTCTGAGACTCCCTTGAACATTCAGTGTGAGTCGGACTGGTTGAAACATAAGCACATATCCGATCTTGCTGACTTTCTCCTTCCCCCGGGAGGCCTGAGCTCTTCGGAAACTAGCAGAGGCTGTCTGTCTCGGTGGGCAGCCGTGGGTCATTTAGGCACCAACCCCTATCAGCCTCCGTGTTTTTGGAAGCTTCTGGGCTGACATCCCCAGTCGGGGGTGGCCTCATCAGTGTTCCCCTCTCGAGTGACGACGCCCTTGCTTTGCAGAGCGGAAGTCTCGTCCACAGCTACAGAGGCACCGGGGGCATCTTCGAGGTGTGCTGGAATGCCCGGGGTGACAAAGTGGGCGCCAGTGCGTCAGACGGCTCCGTAAGCGGCACCCTGGGGATCCCCCGGGCGGGAGAGAGAGGGGATGCAGGGGTGAGGGGGGGGTTTTAGGGAGTGGGTCAGGAGTGGTCCAGACCCCTGAGACCCACGTGGGCGCGCTCCCAGGGCCGTGACGGGCCTCGGAGATGCGTGTTGGCAAAGGAAGCATCTGGGCTGGGCAGTTCTTTGGGAGCGGACATCTCTTCTCACTTCCTGGATGATGTTTTTTTTTTTCTGGCGGAATTGGTGGTTCTCAGCTGGAACGATTGCACCCTGGAGACATTGGAAGTGTCTGGAGGCATTCGGGTTGTTGGTTCTTTTGGGGGTGTGTGTGGGGCGTTGATGGCACCTGATGTGGAAACTGTGGCTGCTGCTGGAACTCTTAGAGTGCTCGGGACCTCCCCCCACAGCAGAGAAGTGCCCCCCCACCTCACAGGTGCTGAGCAACTTGGCCCACCCTTGGCTTCCACGTTTGTGCTCCCACCCGGACCCTCTGGTGACGAAGGCCCAACCTTCCATTCCACTGGTCTCCTGGGTCCCAGTAACCGTCTGCTGGTCGGTGTCCAGCTTTCAGATTCACACCCGCACCTTGGAATTGCCCTGAGCTGTAAGGCAGGGCGCTGACTGGCTAAGTGTCAGCCTGCCCCCTACCCCAGATGTGTGCTGAGGCTTCAGTTGCCTTCTGCTTCACCGTGTAGTGGTCTGGTCTGTGACACCCACCCACGGCTGTGGCCTGGGGTTGGTTGGTAATGATGTTTAGACACTCACCTGTCTGCTAGAGCTGATCTGAATGAACACAGAGTGGACTGTGTGCAAATAAAACTTCATTTATAAACAAGTGGATGGAGGGCCAGGTTTGGTCCATGGGCATGTGCCATCCTGTGGTCTTAAGGGCATCTTATGTTGACTCTCAAGATAACAGGCGCTTTTCTCTCTCCTTCCAGGTGTGCGTGTTAGATCTGCGAAAATAAACACACAGAGAAAAAAATATTATAGACACGAGAAGAGAATTCTAACGGACCAGCAGTGAACGTGTGGGGTTGTAGCACTATTCAGACACAATTCCGTCACCTTCGAAACGGCGCCAGCCTGACCTTAGGGAGTGTCCTTTGAGACCAAGTCATCCCTAGCTACCGGAGTCTCTATTTCTTTCTTTTTTTTTTTTTTTGGTAACCTTCACCGAGAAGTTTAAAACGGAAAACACACACACAAGTCCTATCAAAGGGGTGGAAAAGGAATGGTTTCCACCCGGAACGTCCAGCCCCGGGGGAGCGCGACGCCGCCAGCTTGACATGGTGCACAAATCGGTTTCCACCCAGAACAGGCTCCGATGGTTGAGAGGAAAACAAAAAAAAAAAGGAAAGGCTGTGCCAAAACGAAAAGAAGAAAAAAACAATGCTGTGATAAACCAAAAGGGGAGGAAAAACTCCTCCCGTCAATGGGTTTTTTGTTTCTTGGTTTTTTTCCCTAAAAATTTGGGCACTACAGTTAAACTCTCACAAGGACGTTCGAAAGACCAGTTTGTATGGATGAAATGGGTACCTTTGTAATCCCAACAGTTTCTATTTTCTAGAATCTTTGTCCCCGTGGTTTTTCTATGGGCTGGAATCCTGTCGTCTTGGTTGGTGGGGTTGGTGGGTGGGGAAAGGGGCGGGCCTTGGGTCTGAGGTGGAAACAGTTCCTGGGTGTCTTGCTTCTTTGCTGTTGTTTGACCCACTGGAGAGACAGCCCCTCTCTCTTGGATGTGGTGACAGTCTCTGACGACAGCTTTCTTGCCTGCATCTTCCCCTCCCCACTCTCCNGGGGCCGTCGGAACCGCCCCGCTCCACACCACCAATGCCGCCTAGTTCAAGACTCGGGGCCACAAGTGGGTCCCCCCCCAAAACCAGAAGCAGTTCGGCCAAGTCCCTCCAGGGCTGACCAACTGGAGGGGCCTCTGGGACCTCATGGGGTTTCCCAGCAACAGAAGCAATCGGGGAGAGCTTTTCAGTCCTGGGGGGTGAATTAACAGATGGAGGGTGTGTTCACAGGTCATCTTCACAGTTTGCTTCCTCTGGCAGCAGGTCAGGAGAAAGGAATTGTCCTTTTTTTTTTTTAAACAAATCTTTTTACTGTTTTTTTAAAAAAAAAAAAAATTAAAACATGGCTTTGTGTGTCCCTAGGGGAGTTTTCCTTTCCCTTGGATCAGGTGATCTTTGTATTTAACAGTTGTCTTGACCCAATGCTGACTCAGCTTGTAAATTAGCAGCAGGGCCTCTAGGCTTATCTGTCTTCCCCCAGCCGGCAGTGGGGCTGGCAGTGGGTGGGTAGGTTGCAGCCCTTTTGTGTTCCAGCAACCAGCCTGGATGGTATACCGAGGATGGTGCTATCTGTCCATGGACCCAAAAGCCAACCGCAGGGCATGGCCAGGCCTTTGTACAGAAGTTGCATTGTCCCGGGAGCAGCCCCAAAGCCAGAGTGCATTCATCTGTCTCAGTTCATTAACGAGTCCCCGTGGATCTGAGAGTTTTTCAAGCCGCCCCCCCACCCCCAACGGTAGAAGACCAAAAGGCACTCTGTTCACAGTTCGGGCATGTTATTCAGGCTCTGCTGTATCTAAACGCTTAGCCTTTCAGAAGAAGGTCAGTGTTCTGTTAGAGTCTCCACTCCCACCTTTGAAGATAGCAGACGCCCTCAGGGGTCCACTGCTCCCCCCACCACCCCCAAAATGACTAACTTGGAGATGCAGTTTGCAGAGGTCTAGTTGAACACCATATCTGTACCCCTCCCCGAGTAAAAACGTGTCACTCTCCACACAGCATCAGCTGTCCGGGGTCCGGACGCAGTTTGCGGTTGACGAGCCAAACGCTGCTGGAGGGTGGTGATGGTGGGATTCGGTGTAAAGGGCTCGCAAGAGGATCATCACGGGGAGGTCGGTACGCCGGGCCTCCCAAGTGTTGACGCTGGCCTCCTGGTGAACCTGAACCAGGCTGGAAGTTGCCGGGTTGGAGCTAGGGCGCAGGTGTAAGGCCAAGGTCGCGGACTGGATACCGGGCGTGGCAATGACATGACGCTGCTGAGGAAGGCAGAACTGCCCGTGTACCATCGGGGAAGAGGCCCCGGGCTGGGGACCACGAGGAGGAGGCAGCCAGCATCCCTGGAAGCCATGCCTACCCTGAGTCACGCCCGCTGTGCCCCCTGGCAGCGCTCCGTGGGCACATGGCCTCGTCAGCGCAAGCAGCTCCTAGACGTCGTGGAGAAGCGCTTCACGGTCCTCACTGCCCAGATGGGACCTCGGTGCTGAAAGCAGAGAGTAACACACAGATCCATCCCCGGAATCGTCCGCCGCGCGGGGGAGCTCGTCCGGCGCGCGCACACGCACGCAAGCCCGCGGAAGTACGTCCGATGCCGCTCGACGGCTACAGAACCGCAGTGTTCACTTTGTCTTTCTGAAAAGAGATCTCGGAGCCAAGCGAAGTGCACTTTGTCGGGAGTAAGGGTCTACTTTGTTCGGTGTGTTTTTTTTTTTAACCTTTCAGCCCACTTTTTTTTGTTGTGTTTTTTTTTCCGATCGTGTTTCCCATCCAATGCAGTGTCTCCCTCCCTCCGCTCCCCGAGGTTTGTGAATTTCTGGCTTCTGCGGTTTTTATTGTCTGTGTCAGACGTACAGCCAGATGTCCTGCCCGCATCTTCCAGCTTCTGTTCCATCCACACGGCCCCCACCCTCCACCCCGTTCTGTTCTCTCCACCAGTCCCCCACGGCAACCCTCACCCTCACGCGCTCCTGGAAAGAGAATCACCGTGTGTGTATGTGTGTGTGTGCGTGCGTGTGTGTGCGTGATGGCTCATTTGTTCCAAGAGAGAATCAACAAACCATATTCGGTTGTCTTGAATAAATTGCTCTATTTTGATAGAGAACTTTCCGCGTGTGCTTTCTTGTCCGTCTGGGGGGGCCCACGCTGACTGCTGTGCTGAGTCAAGTCCCCAAGCTCTTGTGTTTTTTTCTCCAGGAGAGATGGGCAGGGGCTGGCGCTCCTTTTACAACCGGCTGGGTGTAAGCCAGGTGAAGAGACCAGAGCGGTGTAGATGCGTTAGGATGTGAAAGGCGAGCATGCTTTTTTTTTTTTTTTTGTAACTAGTTTCTTTTTCGTTATTTTGTTTCAGGCTGGCTGTTTTAGAAAAGTCTTAAAGCAGGTGCATGTTCTGTCGGCAGGCTTGGGTCCCTGGAAGTTTTTGAGTTCTACGGTGAATAGACTTAGAAGAACCTAAAGTCATAGGGACGGCCAGTGACCACAAGCAGACACGTGCAGACGGTGACCGGTTCCCTTTATGCGGCTGTAATCCGTAAACAGAACCCACATGGTCACTTTGAAGCGATGTCCGCCCCATGCCCAGTGACAGGCAGTGGGGAACTGACACAGAGGCGGCCAGACGGACTGCATCTGGCCATGCATGAGAGTCACCCCAAAGAGCCTCCGGCCACAAGCTGACCCTGCGTGGGAATCGCGCCAATCCTGGGCTGTTGCTTCTGCCCCAGTGTCGCCGGGGTGCAGACCTGCCCGATTCTATATTTCTCTCTCTCTCTTTTTTTTTTTTGGTAAGACCGAGGTGACCAAGCGTGCTCTCACGCAGCAGATCTGGGGTGAAGCTCTGAGCACTCTCGGGCGCTTCTGCTGAAGAGTCTGGGGTGACCCGTGTCGTGAACCCACCAGGGTACATGTTGCGTGGCAGGACTGAAGCACCGGTAAACGAGGGTGGTGGAACTTGGGCTTCTGTAGCTGCAGCAACACACTGGTAGCTTGGTCACAGCTTCAAGGAGGCCCCTTTGTGCTGTGATGGAAACGGTTGAGACCAGATGGCCCGAGCTTTTACCTAACTATCATCTCTATGGAACACTTTGCTGCACTGATTCTAAAAATATTTGTCCATTGAGACCCCTCCCCTCCCCAATTTGTTTTGGGAATCCGAGTTTCCACTCACAGAGCAGAGAACTTGTTTTTTTTTTTTTAGGGGCCCACATCTGGGTGATGTTCCTAAAAGATCTTTGAAGTGTTCTTCATACTCACGGGGAGGTTTCTGTGCCCCTGTGGGCACTGGTCTTGGTCACTGTTGGTGATGGGAGCCTGCAAATCACTAGTTTACATGCATGAGAAGGCGTGGGCAGCAGATAACGGACCTTTATAAAAGACTCAGGATTGGGTGGAATTTTGGGGTTTTTCCCCCCAGCCTAGCTCCCTTTTTCTGCAAAGTGTACTCATCCAACCACAAGGTAAGCAACGTGAAGATACAGGTCCACCCGGAGAGCCGCATGGGAAGTCGAGGGGAGGGAGACTCCACAGGGGTTGGGGCAGGTAGGGACTGTTAGAAGTGTTACCTTCCCCTGAATCTTGAAGTTAATAACTCTGGAGCATGGGAGCTCCTATAAGAGAAACACTTATGCTTGAGCCGAGTTACTGAGAGAAACTCCACCAAAAACATGATTGTGAATGAGGAGGTGGGGAATCTGCAATAGGGCAATGAGTAGGCTCATTTAAACACTTTCCAAGGCTATGGTTTTTCCAGTGGTCATGTATGGATGTGAGTTGGACTAGAAAGAAACCTGAGCACTGAAGAATTGATGCTTTTGAACTGTGGTGTTAGAGAAAACTCTTGAGAGTCCCTTGGACTGCAAGGAGACCCAACCAGTCCATTCTCAAGGAGATCAGTCCTGGGTGTTCACTGGAAGGACTGATGTTGAAGCTGAAACTCCAATCCTTTGGCCACCTGATGCAAAGAGCTGACTCAGTGGAAAAGACCCTGATGTTGGGAAAGATTGAGGGCAGGAGGAGAAGGGGCTGACAGAAGATGAGATGGTTGGATGGCATCACTGACTCAATGGACATGGGTTTGGGTGGACTCCGGGAGTTGGTGATGGACAGGGAGGCCCGGCGTGCTGCAGTCTGTGGGGTCGCAAAGAGTCGGACACGACTGAGCGACTGAACTGAACTGAAAGTGAAACTGTTAGTCGCTTCAGTCATGTCTGACTCTTTGCTACTCTTTGCTATTGTGTGTAGCCCACCAGGCTCCTCTGTCCATGGAATTCTCCAGGCAAGAATACTGGAGTGGGTTGCCATTTCCTTCTCCAGGGGATCTTCCTGACCCAGGGATTTAACCAAGGTCTTCTGCATTGCAGGCAGATTCTTCACCAGCTGAGCCACTGGACTCTGGCTAATGGAAGCCAGAGTGACTGACAAGTAAACTAAGCAGCTCTGGGGTATCCCAGGTGTGGGGGCAGGACAGACAGAAGCAGCCAGAGCCAGGCACAGAATTGGGCCTATGCAGGTAACACACACAGCAATGGGGAGCTGCCCACACCTCAATGCCAGACGCTGGGCTGGCCCCTAGGAATTCATCCAGGCTGCCTTCCAAAGCAGACGTTCCAGCTGCCAACCCCTCCCCAGAATTGCTTCTGCACAGCCCATTGCCTTGTGCATCAGCTTCCAACGTTGAATTGGGGCATGAGTCTCCTCAGCCATGCCAGGCCCGTCTGAGACACGCTCTAGCTGCAAGGGACCCTGGGAAAGCCAGCAGCTAGTATCTTTGCTCTAGAGTTGGGTTGGGGCTGTGTCTTGCTCAGCAGGGGGAACCCTCAGAGGAGAGACCTCGGGCTTCTGATGATTCAGGCAAACAGGATATCAATACAGAGGTTAAGAACCCAGAAAAGCTCAAAAGTCCTTTTTACCGCTGCTGGACATTTTGGGTCATGGTCATGGGATGCCCTGAATCCCCTCTGTGGCCCTAGGACTCCAAAAGCACAAATCCAGAAGCAGCCTTTCCCCAAGCAAGACAGAGTTCTAATCTTGATGTGAATGAGGGTCACATGGCAAAACTGAGAAAGTGGTGTGTGCTTGTGCCATAGACTTATCTAGGTGGCTTGTGTCTCCTGTGTGTAGTATGTACAATATTTTTGTCCCCCAAAACGTATATATACATGTATGTTTATCATACATAAAGTCTGTAAACAGACAGTCCTCCACACTGCCCTGCAAATGTAGACCATGCAGATGTGGAGGGCGTCTGTGGATTTTGGTATCCATGGGGGTCCCAGAGGATGAGATGTTTGGATGCCATCACCAGCTTGATGGACATGTCTTTGAGCAAGCTCCGGGAGCTGGTGATGGACAGGGAGGCCTGGCGTGCTGTAGTCTATGGGGTCGCAGAGAGTCGGACACGCTGAGCGACTGAACTGAACGGAAGCCTCCCTTAGACTGAATCACCACCGCTCAACACAGCTGAGGACCCACCAAAGGCTAACCTGGTGGTCCAAGCCTGCCCTCCTCTGCCCCCTAGTGGTGGAGGAGGAACTTGCTCCCAGGTGCGTCACCGGTCCCTGCATCATCACTTATCTTAAACAAGAGCATTCCCTTAGAGGTATTATTCAGACAGACCCCAAGTCAGGCTGGGAGCTCGGACACAACTACTTCTTTATTGTCGTTATTAACTTCCAAGGACCTGGGTCTGGCGTTGACATTACAGCCAGATCAGAAAAACGAACGTCCACGTACACTCGCGACAAGCTGCTGGTCTCGAAGGGAATCTGCCTTTCGTTCTCAAGCACAGGCTTACGGCGGGCCTCTGCATCACACAGAGGCTGCCAGGGAACACGCTCTTAGCTGTGATGGCAGGAAGATTCGGGGGGCTGGGGGGGGCATACACTACACCCCGCAGTGTGCTGACTGCGGGGGCGAGAGCACTGTGTAAGGGATGAGAACCCTCGCATCTGAAAACACACACGGAGGGCCTAGACAACCCCCTCCCCTCCCGCCCCAGCCCCGTCTCGTCCTCTCTACGGGTCTCCTCGGACTTGCGGAACAGAGTCCGCCGCCTTGCTGCCGCGGGACACGCTTGCGACGTGGATTTCGATGGTGCTGCCGTCGGAACCTGGGGAGGAAGAAAGAATGTCACGGGTCGGCGTTAAGTGTCTGGGTGTGCCTTTCACAAGTTGCACGGCCGCATTCAAAAGAGGAAAAAAGAAAAATGCACAATACGTCCACCTACGTGGGATTAAAGCATCCCAAAGGACCGAGCGAACCCTACAGAATCATCTCGGGCGACTTGATTCACGTCATGACTGTATCCACCCCACTAGCCTGCCTTGAGACACTCTCAGCCAAACCCCGTGGACGATGCAGAGCAAATGGAAACCAGGCCTGTTGACCCCGCGCAGCTTCGGGGCCCTGGGACTTGCGCTAAATCAGGGGTCTGCGGTCCTAGAGGGGTCACTCAGGCAGTGGTCGCCCTGCAACCACTGGCGCAATTCCAGGAGGTGCCCGGAGGCCTTCTCTTGCTAAAACTGAGAGTGGCCTTTTCACGGATGATGCCACGTGGTTGGAGGAAGAGGAGGAAGGGTGTGGGGAGCCATCAGTGGAATGAAAAGCCAGGCGTCATTGGCCAAAACTGTACTCCTAGAGGCCCGTCCATCCCAGTGACACAGATGTGCGAATTATTCTCTCGGGGCAGAAATACCCAGGCTTGCCTGCTGTTGTGCCAGGTTCTAGGGGTGTGCGTGCGTGCGTGTGAGTAGTGAGCCATGGAAGACATAGGGAAGGGTGGCCTTTTCAACTGTGCATGAGGCAGGTGGAAACCTGCCATCGCTGAAAACCTCCAAACCCCAAATTCCCTCAACCTACATGCCCTGCAGACGACTGCAGCCTGTTCCTCTCACAGCCCTCTGCTCACTCAGAACCTTCAAGCACAGGCTTCTTTACACCCAACCTCAGTCCTGCCACAGGGCCTTTGCACGTCCCCTTTTCTGCCTGTGAAACTCTCTGGATTTTCTTGTGGCTCACTCCCACACTGCACTCAGGTCTCAACTCAAATGTTACTTCATTCTCAAGGAGGTGTCCTGGACACCTAGCTAAAACCAGTCTCCTGCCCTCTACGGATATGCCATTGTTCACAGCACTTCCCTTTTCCTTTATTTATATTTTTAACTTTTTTAATTTTGATGATGTCCAACCTTTTTTTTTTCCTTGAGTCGCCTGTGCTTTAAGTGCATTATTTTAAATTATTTGTTTGTAGCTGTGCTGGGCCTTTGTTGCTACACGTGGGCTTCCTCTAGTTGTGGTAAGTGGACTTAGTGTGGTGGCTTCTCGTTGCAGAGCAGACTCTAGGGTGCATGGATTTCAGTATTTGTGACTCATAGGCCGAGTAGTTGGTGGCACACAGGCTTTGTTGCCCCATGGCATGTGGGATCTTCTTGGACCAGGGGTTAGACCAGCGTTCCTTGCATCGCAAAGCAAATTCTTAACCACCAAGAGTCCTTCACAGCACCAAGGACCACCAAGGAACCGCTGGGGTCCTTCATAGCACTTCCCGGTCAGGACTTGTGGTGCATGGGCTTCGTTGCCCCCCCAGCATGTGGGAGTTTTCCCAACCCAGGCCAGGGATCGAGCCCGTGTCCCTGGCACTGGCCAGTGGATTCTTCCCCATGGACCACCAGGGACATCCTTCAATTCTTTGTGATTTTCATTCTCTCTCTGCCGCTAGAATGGAAAGTGTCGTGGACAGTGCATTCATCCCTCTTAGTCGCCGTAGTATGTGTGGCCCCTGACACATAGAAGGGACTCCATAAACAAATGTGGGGTGCATAAATCTTGTGAGGTCACAGCCTTGACATCAGGGGGAGGCAACACAGGTCCCTCTGAGCATTAAGACACTGATGTATCAAGACAGGCAGAAACGAGCCCTGTTTAACGTGTTCAGAGTTTTGGAGACTACTCAAGGAAGAGAAGAGAGAGCCTCAGGGAAGTAAATACCTGGAGAAGCCTGAGATACAGGAAGGGGCTATGATTATGACCAAGAAAAAGCAAGTGTGTGCCTGTAGTGTCTCCATGACCACCACACGAAACCCCACCATGGCCTGCGTGGGGAGAGGCACTCGGAGGGTCTTCCTGGGGCGGGATGAAGATGCGTCCAGGGGGATCTAGGTTGGAGTAGGTCATACCAAGAGTGATGAGCCCCCAGAGAGCAGAGGAATTTAGAAGATGGGGGGTGGGGGAAGGGCTCACGTCAATGGCCATGAACCCTGCAGCCACATCTCAGGAGGGTCCAGGTTGCCCATCGAGATGGTGGGAGCAGCTGTTTTACTGGAGCAGAGAACCCGCTCCTCCTGGAGACCAGGCAGTCAGTTCAGTTCAGTTGCTCAGTCGTGTGCGACTCTTTATGACCCCATGGACTGCAGCACGCCAGGCTTCCCTGTCCATCACCAACTCCTAGAGCTTGCTCAAACTCATGTCCATCGAGTCAGTGATCCCTTCCAACCATTTCATCCTCTGTCATCTGCTTCTCCTGCCTTCAATCTTTCTTGAATTATACATTAAGGGGACATGTAATTGACTCAAGTTACTAATGACCACTCTCTTCCAAGTTGTTCAACTATATTTCATTGAGTATTTATTATGTATTTGTCTATCTATTTAACACTATGCTGGTTTCCTTTAGAGATGTGAAAGTTTATATAGTGCTTCTGGCTTCAAGTAGTTTGCTGTTTGGTTGGAGAGTGAAGTTTTCTGTCTAGTTGGAGAGCGAAGATTTTCCCATGTAAGCTAGGAGATACCACATAAAGAAGAAAGTAACTGAATGGCAAAATGTAATCTAATGGGAAATTAAGGAAAGAATGATCCAAGAATGCAAAATATCCATTGCCCACAGGGGCATCGGCAAATAACCTAAACAATAAAGCAGATGCAGTCCTTGGGCGTGGAGGGTAGGACAGGAGAAGGGGTGAAGGCCTGAGCTGGGAGGAGGAGAACAGCTGTAAACTGAAGACCACAATATCCATCTGAAGAAANCCCTTTCACAGCATCATCTTTTAGCATTTGAAACAGCTCAACTGGAAACCAGGCAGCAGCTGGGAAGACAACTTCCGGTTCCGAAACCGCATTCCTGCTGGAGGCGCTTCACAAAGGCTTTGATTTCTCACAGGGTCACCCCACACTGTTAACGCTCACATCCTGAGCTCGTGGGAACTTGTGTGCAGTTTCTGTAGTTCTTGCAGAAAGACCATGACCTGGAGGGTCACACGGTGGCTCATGATCGAGGTCTCAGCTGAGCACCCACCCTCGTGACCTGACACTTTAGGGCATGCTCTTCACCCTGTGTTTTTTTTTTTTCTTCAAAGTTCTTGCATCCTTCGCTGTCCTCTCAGGCTCCACAAAGGAGACCCCTTCTTGCCACAACCGCCCTATGAGTCTCAGATGCCAGCACCAATGCAGATGACCCTTTCTCCCCCCTCCCAAGCCTAGCCCCACCTGGGCTGAGTTGGTCTGCCGTCTGCACCGAGTGCTTTCCAGCATGTCTGCCTTTCCATGGGTTTCTCGTCTGGTCTTAGCAAATCCAACAAGGCCGTGGTGGGTGTGCACTCATTCTGCATCGGTGGCGTGTGAATACCCGAGTGTCCTTGCAGGAAGTCCAGCTGCTGGTGACCTCATAGTGCCCAAGGGCCAGGGCCCCTTCCTAGCAACTCCCAGCAGTGAGCCTCGCCAGTCCAGGCGGGCTCTTGGGAGCTTCCTGTCTCCAGGTAGACCTACCATTCGGGGAGGCATGTCGTCTCTTGGGCCCTGGGCCATTGTCTCTTGTTTCCCTTGACACCTCAAAGCCCTAGATGGGCAACCCCAACCGGGAGGCATGGAGCATAAGCTATAGAGAACGTGTGACACCTAGCCCTGAATCCCCTGCAAGTTGTGGAATCGCCTTCAAGGTTTAGCCGGCCTGGCAGGTTGGAGGCCCTAGGGGTGTGTTAACTCCCTCACTCCCCTGGTATTGGCAACCCATGGAGCCACCTGGAGTTTTGTGGACTGCACATGGGTGGAAGGAAAGAATAAGAGACAACAAGACGGATGAGACAGAATAGAAACACGTGGAAGGTCACGGGAAAGCGTGGGACAGAACAGGGAACTCTGAAGATCAAGCGAAGAATTGTGCAAAACAGAACCATGTGTGGGGGGAGAACAAAGAAAGTGGAAACAGGGAGTGGAGGGAAAGACAAGGTCTTGTGAGAGCAACAGAATTGTAGAAGAGGAGAAAACTGCAAGAGGGAGATGAGGGATGATGGGGGGCAAGAGAACCGTGAGAAAGAGTGGCATTCAGAAGAGAAAAAGGAACTTTGGGAGCCTCGGAATTGTGTCGGAGGATACAGAGAGGTGGGAGAGGCAGAATCATGAGAGAGGGTGCTGTGGAAAAGGACAGGAACTTGGGGGAGAGATACGGAATTGTCAGAACAAGAGAATTAATGTTACCAAAAGGTATGCATGAAAGGGTCTGGCTGCGCGCCCTTCAAAAGCCAGTAAACGGGCCAGGTTGGTGGAAAGGAAAAACTCGCTTTATTTCAGATGCCGGCAACTGCAGGGGGAGGATGGCAGATGTCTGTCCAAAGGCCAACTCCCCGATAGGCAGGGGGTGAGAGCTTTTATAGACAAAGTTGGGGGGGGGGGTGGTTACATGCTGAAACGGTATAGTCATCTCTGATACTCATCTTCACATTGGTCATCGGTTATCTGGCTAGCGTCATCACGGTTGTTTTAGGCACAGATAATCTTTAGTTCCCGGGTGCAAGTGTCCCCATGTCTTTGCAGTGAGTTCTGGGAATTGTTGGCAGCTCAAGTCCTGGGTACAGTCAGGTCATCGTGTAATTAACCTTTCCACCTGGTCTGTTTTGGTATCTGTAAGACAGCTCACAGGATGTGGCTCAGAATATTATCTATAGCCCTTCAGAAAGAACTAAAGGTCCTTGTGTATGTGTGTTAGTCGGTCAGTCATGTCCCAGCTCTTTGCAACCTTGTGGACTGTAGCCCACCAGGCTCCTCTCTGTCCATGGAATTGTCCAGGCAAGAATACTGGAGTGGGCTGCCATTCCCTTCTCCAGGGGATCTTCCCAACCC